TGACTATGTCTGTTCCATTGATTTCTGCCCCAGGCAGCTTAAATGAGGGCCAGTGTGGAGAAGTCCTGGTGAGGAGGCAGCAGGCAAGGGTTTTGTGTTGGACACTGCTGTCTGTGGGCTTTCCCTGGGAATAGTGAAGGAAAACTGTGCATGACACATGTTAACGGAAGCAAGGAAGACTTTATTCAAGGGAGGTTGCTACTAGGAGGTTATAGTAGGGGAGAGAGATGAGGCTTAACTCCAAACACAGTAAGAAAAATTAGGGGTTTATAACTAAGGAGCAGCTTCAGACATTGCTGAATGGAATATTACTAAGAGGTAGGGTAATTTTTTGCTAAAGTGATCTAACAGGATTTTTGTTGAAGACAAGCCAGAGTGATAAGATACCATACAGGAGGTAGTCAGACCATGGGTAGGAGATTTACCCTACACTGATTCAGCAGGATTCTTGCTAAAACTGAAGTAAGCCAGCCAAGGACAGAGCCCAAGATCCAGAGCCTAGCTGGAAAAGAGAACTGAGAAGGCCCTGGCTAGATTTAGATTAAGGAAAGAGTGTTTGTCAGATATCTTTCTGAATAACCTGGAAAACAGCCCTAGAAGTTGTACATTTTTATTAAAAATAAGCAAAATAAAACTTTTCTTAAAGGGTGTTTAGAACTCATGAAAGTGGTTTGTACCCATTATATTTAAAAAAAGGAAAATTCTTGTAGCAGGAACGGAGAAGTTACCCTATAAGTATTGATTCTAAACGTTTCAGTCTTTAAAATAAAGTATTTTTAGAAACAAGTTTAATTAACTACTGTTTCATTTATATTTACTAAAGCAGTTTTGAATCTGGCCTAGCCATAGTTTTATTATTCAAGTAATTATCTAAACAGTATTTCCCCAATCTTGAAACTAATTCAAATGTAAGGGATTTTAATGCTTATCTCATAGCTGAGAAAAGCTAACACATTTCATTAGCTTAAGTATTCACTTCTTTTTGTCAGGAACTTAAAAACAGTAAGTACAGTATAAGTAAAACTGTATGAGCCTTGACTCTCCCTCTGTTGAAAGAAATCTAATCATAGAACATTTTATGCTAAAAAAAAAAATTCTTTATCTACAAGATGCATTGTTTCCATCTTATCTTTTGAAAGTGAGTCTTTTGCATTGGATTTTATATATGCATATGTTGTAAAACAGAGATGTATAATTATCTTTATCCTCTGGATAGGTCTATGTTCTCCACATCTTTTGAACAGGACTAAGGCATTGTGGAAAGACAGAGCAGTGTGAGTTACCATTTATTTACAGAAGGAAGAGGAGGCAAAGGGCAGATTATGAAGTGGAGCCAGGAAAGAAGATGGAGCACAAAATACACACAAGGAAGTCCTATACCCTCCCTAAAGAACAGAGGGTCACCATTTTGTCCTGAATTTTTCCAGCAGTCTACACACAGAGGGAAATTTGATCAGGTACATGAGTCACAGTGTCTATAAAATGAAAGCAGGACGACTGCTCTGGCAGAAATCTGGGCTCAGTTTCTGAAGTCGTTCACTGTGGTTGAATATTCTCACCTCAAGTTGGACCAGAGCCTGGACTTCGTGATTATTTGGAAGAAACCAAAAAAGGTATCTTTCTTCTAAAAAGTATTTTCTTTTCGACTCTGGGGGTGTGGAAGTAAAAACCTGGAAGGGTTGAGATTTAATGGCCCTGTCTAATTACAATTTTTAAAAGTTATTCCTCACATATGATAAATTTATACTTATTCAATTATATAAAGGAGAGTTTGAAAATTGGTAATATACATTGTGTATGAAAAAAAGTGGAATTAAAAATAATGTTTAAAGTCACTCTCAATACAAAGAGCTATAAATGTTGAAATTCAGAAGACTATACCAAATCTGAAACAGTAAATTACTTAATAGTCCTAAAACTTTAACCCATTTAAAAGGTTAGAAATGAGGCACTCTCTAAAGATTCTTTTAACTGTAGATTTAGCATATTATGTACAGTAGAGGCTGGAGTTTGTCCTGAGGGTTCTGGCTCTTCAAGTGTTGTACAACTCAAGAGCAATCATATTCTTTTTCTTTCAAGATGAGAGGGTAGTTGTGTTAGCCAGGTGTAGTGGCAGGTGCCTGTACTTCTGGCTACTTGGGAGGCTGAGGTGGAAGGATCGCCTGAGTCCAGTAGGTTGAGGCTGAGGTGACCGTGATAGTGCTACTGCACTCGAGCCTGAGCCACAGATTGAGACTCTGACTCAAAACAAACAAATAAGTAAAATTATTCACTGCAAGAGGGGAGGCAGAAGCTCTTGAGTACCCCATCACACTGATTCTAATCGCAGAAACATATTTAGGCCTTCATCCAGAAACTGTCCCTTTGGTAGAAGACTAAGTGGAAGCATAGTAAATGTGACCACCAGATGGCAGTAGTGCACTCTGGATAGCGAGCGCAGACTCCTTTTCTGTTTTCCACTCGAAACTCTCCACTAGGTGACAGCAATATGAGTATAATTGGAATGGCCATTAATGGATTATGTTTTAAAAAAAAAATTTTAATCCTTCTGTTAAATCTAAAAACAGCATTTAAAAAACTGCACAATTGGATTTTTTTTCTAGAAAATGTAACATACTATTTGTTTTTCGGCCTCCCACACACTAACTTAATATACAAAATCAAAACAACAAAACAAAAGCAAACTTTTTAAAGTAGGGGGCCACCTCTTCCAAAGAACTCAGGAAAGATTATCGTTTGAAAGTAAATTATTATTACTTAAGAAATTATGGAGTTCACATTTCCTTACCACAGTTTAGGGGGAAAAAAGTGACTAAAATAATCAGTGCAGAAGAATAATTATTGACCACTGATATGTGGCAAGTATTATATTTAAATACTTAAAAAGCTTTATTTTATTGAGTGTTGATCAGAGCCTTTTAAGAAAGTCCAGATTTGAACATAAGCCTGTTTAGGGCCATCACCTCTGTATTTTTCAAGACTTTGTGTTTTTTCTACTTGAGTCATTGAAACAGAAACTGGAGCTGCTTACAACGTACGATTTTGAGTGCAAACAGGGATATATTTTCTCTGGTTATGACTTGCTTTCACATGTAGATGCATAAAATTCATTCAATGAGGCACAATAATACATTTTGATTCTACAGTTACACTGAAGGCTAGAAATAAAGTTTGGTGTGAGAGTAATGACAAAGTTATGAACTCATTCATGCTGTGATATAAATGACCAATAGTGTCATAAATAAGAGTAGAAGGAGACTAGGGAAAACAGAGGAATACCGGGCACTTGATTAGTATTGACTAGGCAAAAGAGAAGGGTAATGAGGTGGGGTAATGAAGTCCCCTAGTTCAGTTAAGCAGCCCTAGTTCAGTTAAGATAACTTCCATGTTTACCCCCGCGTAGTGCTTTTCAAAATGGTTACCCGTGCTTAGTCCTAGACAGCCGCATGTAACTCGATGCAGCACAGATGCTTTCCATGTGAGGCAGAGACCCGAACCTGTGAGGCAGAGACCTGAGAGACGATCATTGGGCAGGCAAGTTTTTAAAGCAGAATGATAACAAGTGGTGTGTGTGTCCACAGTGAGAGTGAAAATGTCCCCAGGACCTTCATTTTTCCTTTAATTCAGTTCTAAATTGAACTAGAACCTACCACAGAGAGGAAGAGGAATAAGGAGGCAGAGACTACAGATATGCTTAAGACTTTTTGTGTGTAAAATAATTTTATTGTTCAGTAAAGCTGTACTTTGTTATAGTTTATTTCAAGTATCTTTACGAGAAATACAGCAAAATGATATAAAAAGACAAAAGCTTACTTTAGGCTAATGGGAAGGGGAGAAAGTCCTTTTATTTCTTGCACAAGATAGCCTTAGGGTAGAGTGTTTAAAGAGAAGAAGGGAGAGGCGATGGGGGACTTAGGAAAGGATGTTCTAGAAGGAAGGGCAGGGTGGGACTTGATTATTCATCTGTGTCCTGAACTGTCTACTCGGTATCTGCAGGCAATGGAAAGTGAAGTCGGGCTGCCAATTAGCACAAATTTGTGATAACAACTGCCGTTAACTCAGCAACTGCTTATTAGGAGCCACATACTTTTTATACCTACGTTTCTTATTACATTTTGGCCTGCCCTATTGAGGAGGTGGTATTATTCTTTTCCTGAGAGAATAATTTGCCAGGACCCAACAGTCAGCAAATGGCACAGTTAGGCTTCAAACTCAATTCTGTTAGCGGTGTCCCCTCTGCTTTTCTAGGGTCCCCCCGCCAGACAAGGGTTGGCGATATACATAGAGACCCACGGACTGCCACCAGATATTACAGTAGCCAATTTGGATGAATTGGTAAGCACAATGGGACCTAACTGTAATTAATTATATAACTATGGCCCGCCCACATCTAGTTCTACTAAGCTGCAACATGAAATTGGGGCATTATAAAGGATTACTGGGAAAATAAATTTTGAATAAAACCTTCCCTGCTTCTCTTTTCCCCAGAATTAAACAGAAATAGAGAAAAGTAAAGCAGAGTATGAATTCAACCCGATTGGCAGCACAACCAGAAGCTTTTATCCCATCTACCTGGCAGCTGGCCAATATATCAGCTCAAACTTCCCTAAAATTACAGAAGGATGGGGTGTTAAAGAGTTAACAGTATTCTAAAAACAAGGTAAATATAGTTTGAGCATTAGGGCAAAGTTGCTGATAATTGCTAATACTGTTTGTTTTTCAATCTCTTTAAAAAAAAGTTTGATTTTGATTGTATATAGTGTCTTTTCTGGGATCACGATCTCCAGAATTCCTCCTTCTCAAAGGAGAAGACTAGAATTCTTACACAGTTTTCATAGAACAAAGTAGAGAAATCATATCGCAAGCAGCATTCAGATTCTAGAGGACACACATTTAGTATAATCAACAATACACCCACACTGCATGTGCTTGTTTATTTGCAAATGTTTATCTGGAAAGATTCTTAAGAAATATAAAGTATCTCTTCTGTGGCAGATTCCTTAGGTGAAAAAAGTGCTGATAGTCACTATGGTAACCAAGATGGAGGTAACCAGAAGTAAAATCAGACCCACACGACAGTATTTTGATTGCTTCTCCTGTTTCTCTTCCTTTTTCAATAAAGTGTCAAAACCCGGTGTGTACATGTCTCCCAACCAAAACCGTAGGTCATTAGGATTTTCCTAAAAGAAAATTACATAAAGAATATGATTAATCAGTGATCAGTGTTACAAACTAATTGAGACTGCAGGACCAGACACTGTAGCTGGTCCATAGTCACATTGTTTTGGGTAAGGCTTAAGTGTCACGGCTCAAATGAGCCAGGCCGGGCTTCCCTGAATAGCATAAACATGCAACTAGACTGACCAGGAATCCCTGCAGTTCCAATCTGTGGGTCTGCATCAGAATTAATTAGGAGGCATGCTTGATTTTTCAATTAAATAGCTTACATTGGAGAGTCAGAAACACAACGGTGTTTCTATCATGTTTTAGCCAATTTAATGTTCCTTACATCTTATACATAGTGTGTGCAGATCAGTTTAGTGAGTTGAAATAAAATTAAAATTCCTTCTTTAGAAGAAACTCACAGGTTTGATTTTTGTCTGCATGGCAGGAATGAACATGCTTGGTGAGATTTTCAGTAAATCCAGAAGCTTATGTCCATGGAAGTAGAAATAAGACTAAGAGTCAAGAGATCCTTCTGTGATTCTGGACTTGCTGGTCTTCCTCGTAGAGGGCTGCAGCATGTCTGGCATGCAGAAACTTTGACATTGTTTGACTTGCTGAAGAAAGAATCCATTATATTCTTCCCCACATCAGCTCCTGTTTATTTTATATGCCTTTGTTTCTTTCACAGGCCTCATCTTTTCTTTCAGTCCCACAGAATTATCTTCAATTCAACCTGATATCCTGTGTCCAATAAATCACCTGCAAGCTCTACTGCCTGTACATGTATAAAAATACATTTCTTCTTTTCTCATCTCCTGCTGTGTTTAGGTGCTATAGATGCAGTGTCAATGCCTGGCGGATGGCAGCAGCCACACAACAAATTTACAATGAATGCTGAATCTCTGCTTTTACAAACTCACTTAGTGCCTTATTATTCCTCACCTGTATTATTGTAACCGTTTGCAGCAGTTGCTGGTTGTTCACCCACTCCCTACCTTTCTAGCCTCAGTGGACTTCAAGTTAGCTGGAAGTGTGATATAATCAGTTGCCTTGGTCAGTCTCAGGGGTCAATGAAGTAGCTTCAGATTTCTGGGTGCACTGCTGGGAGAGGCATATGCTTGCACACTGGGAATCTGAGATGGATTCTGATGATGGCTATAGAATTATTCCATTCCATTAACATCAGTTTGAATTTCCTAGTCTTGGAATGCTAAGGGTTAGGGTTAGGGTTAGGGTTAGGGTTACTTTTATTAAAGTAAAATTCAGATGCCTGCGCAGAAAGATAATGATCTCAAAATCCGTGTTTACCTCACTCTTATTCTTTACTTTTGTTTTTCGTTTTTGTGTGTGTGTGACCTAATCTGAGGTCTGCATTTTGCCTTCAAGTTTGATGCCTCTGTTCTCCATTAAGAGCTTCTGTAATGAAGACTATTTTTTTCTTACATTCCGCTTCTAGCTTGCCTTGGTAATTAAATATGGGATTTCTTTTCTCTTTTCTGACTTGTGACTCTTAGGAATTTGGAAAAATAGGAGTAGCCCAGGGCAGTTAGAAGGTTTATAGCCTATAAATAGTGTCAAGATTTCAGAAAATAAGTTAGGGAGTCTGTGCACTAATTATGAGATATGGATGGGGTGTTGATGAAAGAAGTTGAATTAAGGAGGTATAGGAAGAAATTCTAATGAAAACAAAAGTCACAGCTTCTAGAAGCTTCCCTAAAGAAGCTACTGCTGAAGAATAGCCTTAGGAGGTCGGTGAGCAGGCCTCAGCTTTTATGACCTACTACTCTGAGGAGAAAGTGCATGGAGAGTACTGGGTGGGGGAGCAGCAGATCCTGATTTTGGTCAAATAAGGCATCTATCTTATTTATGTCTGGTCTTCTTAAACATAATTCATACAATTGTTCAACTTAAAAAAATTACTCCTTGCTGCCAATAATATTTAATTTCCTACACGTAACATTCAAATATTGTTTTATAGTCTTTATTTGTTCGCCTTATTTCCCCTCACTATTCTATTACTTAAACTGTAGCTCCAAGAAAACTGACTACTTATTGTTTTGACAAAGTCTCTCAGTTAACTTATATTTCTGCCTCTGCTCTTGCTACTCCTGATGGAAGAGCATTCCCAGTTATGCAAACCATCTTTGTCTTTTGAAACAAAACAGCCTTTTAGCTTATCATAAATTCACTTTTCATGAAGTCTTTTTGTAATCAAATGTGATTTTTGCCCCCTTCTGAATTTGCACAGCACTTTCCACTATGACCATCACCTTTTTCTAGCTAGTCTTATAGTTGTCTGTTAATTTTTTAATATTGAATGAATTTTATGAGGCTGAGAACAGTAACATTCACCTCTGTAGTCCCTTATTTTACATGTAGACAGAATAAGGAAAAAAGCTCTAGCATACTGTCAAGAAGTATTTGTGCAATAAATCAACACCTTAAAAAATAGTTGGAATGAATTCTTAGAGGTCCTAATCTGAAGACTCCTGATTAAAAGAACACAAGGTTTGAAAAAAAGAAAGAAAAAGAAATGCAAAAATTTTGTTCTTGCGGGAAGCATCTGTTATGGAAACTTCTCTGGGAAAGGGGCTATATGAAAAAGATGTTACAGTCAATCTACTAAGAGATGAAGAATTTCAAAGATTCTGGACAATAGGTATTTCAAGGAGTGCATATTTGAGATTATTAAAAGTGTGTGCAGGATTTAAGGAGGCAGGGTACTGTCCCCTTCAAAAGAAAAAAATCCTCAAGTACCTAAGGTATGAGGCTTAGAATAGATACACATTTTTAAATGAATGATATGTACTTGGAAAACTACACACTTCCCTGGCAGGCAGAGGCAAGCCAAGGCTGGGTAGGAATTCAGTTCATTCAGAAAACAGAGCTGACATCCCTGCTTCTCAGGTATTTCCAGTTCTTCCATGTGATGGGTGATCCAGAAAAAAAGAAAAAGAAAAACTTGAGTTTAAGCTAGGTGAATGAGTTCATTGCATACTTTTCCTGTGTTGAAATGTTTTTGTTTTGTTTTGTTACTGAGACACAGGAAAATGACCAAAATGTAAATCTACAATCTTAAATCATTGAGTCGGCTTGAGATAAAATGATCTTTGATGAGAATTTCTTTGTACAGTGCCTAAGATAGAGTACCTAATAAGTATTTTTAAATAAATGCAAAATAGGGAATCAGCTTTTATGTTTTCGTGAACATACATAAGAAAACATATGTAATCTCGCAAGTTAATTTTCAAAAACCTTTTACCCTCCTGGATAACCTCTGTTCTGTGCCACATCATTTTTTCTTCTCTTTACTCTACAGATACTAGTAACTGCTGAAATTGTAAAACTCAAAACAAATAAACACAAATATTGACTTGGAGGGAGAAAGAAAAACCAGGGGCTGAAATGATCTGAAATATGGAGATGTTGTGCCTAGTAAGGAATACCTGCTCCTTGATAACCCTTTTCCTTTTGGGTTATCGAACTCATCTCCCTTATCACTGAAGAAGGTGATTCTTAGTCTTGTGTACCTTCAGATGTCCAGAGAGGTTTGTGTGCAGGGAACGTTTGTCATATTCCTCAATGGTCCATGAAGGGTTCTTTTTTCTTTCTTCCATAGCTTCCTCCAAACTTATATCACCATATAGTGGGTTATTCTTCAGAACTGATGACATGGATCTTGGGGGGCTATCATCAGTGGCAAGGGCTTCCACACTGGATCCCCTATTTCGCTGAACAGCAATCTTCTTCTTTTCTCTCTGTTAGGAGGCAAAGAGAGAAGGCTTCTCTTAGCAGTGGGCCTTCTGATGGTAGAGAAGACAATGTGAGATAACTGTACCAGAAAATGTGCTGATTCTGCCTAGAAACCCGGCAGATTCAGAAAAAGAATGAGAAAGGGATTCTAAGATTTGATTTGACTTAGAAGCTTAACATTGAGTTCTTTCTTGTATGATGTTGATTAGCTTTAATCATCATTCATTAAAATGCTATTTATAACTACCCAGAAAGAACACTGTCTTTAATTCAAATAGTAGAATTCAGAGCGAAAGTAACTTTTCTCAGTTTATTTGCACTGAGATTTAATGGCATTTTACATCTGATTGTGCATTCCATGACATACAAATAATATTTAACATTGTATTAATCTAACAAAGTCAAAATTAAAAAAAAAAATACTTTAGAGATACACCTTGGCTTTCACAGATATTGTATTGTCTTGGCTCCCATTTCAGACAGCTTTGAGGACTGGACTAACTTAGCATGGTATGTCTAACAACATTGATATGTGTCTACAGACCAGCTGGCTGTTTAATGGCTCTAATATTCACTTTCAGACTTTTTAACAACTTTTTTATTGAAGCATAATATGCATTTTAAAGAGTGTATATGTGATAAACACATAACTCAATAAATTTTTACAAACCAAATGAACCCAAGATTCAATACCCACTCCAAGAAACAGAACATTACTAAGTACACCTCAAGCTTCTTTCCAGTCACTATCTTCCAACCCTACCCAATGGACAAGTAGCATCCCAAATTAGAATGGCATAGGTTAGTTTAGACTCATCTTGTATTTTACATAAATAAAACCATAGAATGTGTGCTTTTCTGTGTCTGTCTTGACCTTCAGAGTTTTACTTTATTTTGTTTTCTTTTAAGGACTAAAAAGCTATCATGAAGGTAGAAATTTTTTAAACTAAAATGCATTTATTGGCCAAATACAAATTATGAAGAAACAAAAAGCTTTTAGAATAATGCTTCATCTGTCATGGGGCATCAAGAAAGAAATTTCTCATGAATTAATTTCTTTTTTTATTATAAAGATGTGGGGTGCAAATCAGGGTTAGGTATACAAAATTTGATTATGCAGGTACCCTTGTTGATGGGGTATGCCCCTCCCTCCCCTAGCAGTTTCCTTCAACTGCCAATCCTACCCCTCCTCTTCTGGAAGTTTCCCACTACTGCCAATCCCTTTCTTATAGTATTATGATAATTGTTTGAGGTCTGCTTATGAGTGAGAACATATGGTACTCTGTTCTTTGTTTCTGTGATAGATCACTGATTATGATCGACTCAGGCTGAATCTTTAAGACTAGTGACTCAATTTCTTAATTTACAGCAATTTTTCAATAATTTACGTATTTCAGCTATCTTAGAGTAATAAGAATTTTACTCCTCTGTCAAATATATGATCACCAATACACGAATGCTCTTGCATCTATTGGGGTTTATAGGTTACAGTAAATATATATCACATAAGCTAAAGTTGTAAACTAATGTTACATATAGTTTCCTTCTGAAATGGCAGGCAGGTTTAAGAAAATCACCTAGATAAAATCATTCACATTTCATTTGGTGTTGAGTTTCCCCAGTTTCCTTAATCCATGCATTTTTCACATACTTAGAGATCAACTTAGAGATTCTTTCTGACTTAATAGATTCTTGGTCTGCTCAAAGTCAATTTATACTCTTCAGTATTAACTGAAGTTTGCAATGAAATAATAAATCTTCTTGACTTAGCATTTATCTTAAAGACAGATTGCTTCAAAAGTAATGTTTCTGAATTGAGCAAAAAATGATTTGATAAGAAATTTCGATTTGGTAAGCTTAGCATAATTCTGACTCAATTTTTTTTTCTTCAAGGCTATACGCCTTTGATCATCTTTGAGGAGATAATTCTTCTGACATTGATAAATTGGTTTTGTCAGGTTATTTTTTTGCTGAACTGTTGCTTGAGTTTCTTTTTTTTAAATAAGAAAGCTTTATAAATGAGGAAAATACAGTTTGGGGGGGTCAAGAAAAAAATACATACTCTATTACAGTGTATATTGACTTAGAAAAAACAATATAAAAAAGAGAGCAAAGCAATCAGAGATACATTCTTTAAGAACATTCAAGCCCTTTTTTCTAGATCATGTTCTTGAAAGTGTTGAGGTTTAGCCTAGTATCTCAGTGTCATTTATTTTTGTACTCTGTGTTAATATTATATGTGAGGGACATGTGAAAGATTAATAGTATAAATGTATTAAGGATGTAATGGTTGAATAAGCAATACTAATTTTGGTTGAGGTTGATTTGTACCTTGATAATTTTTTTTTTCCAAGTAGCTCTAAGGAAAAAAAATCAATGTATGTAGTTCCAACTCTTCACTCTACTCCATAAGAAAGAATACATTTACCAGAGAAAAACTCAACATCAATTTCATTTTTTTATTATTTAGACTCTAAAATAAATTACATTTTAAAATATTCCCTTAAAAAAGTAACGCTTCAAAGCTTACTTAGACTTCTGTATTAAACCTTACTTTGCCCATTTATTATTTATATACTTTAATCATAATATTCTTTATGTGCAAGTAAACTATCATTCTATAAAGAGAGTTAGATAGAAGACATATCTGGATAAACAAAAATTAAGAATGCACAATTAGTACATTTTTTAAAAAAATCTCTAAAAACGTTTTCTGGAAGAAGAAAATTGATAACAGAAGAAAAAATTAAGACACAAGGAGGAATGTTATGAGAGAAAAAGTAGAAAAAATAGAAATAAAATTGATAAAAGTATATGTAAATACAAGCAAACATTGTTTTTATGGCAAAACAAAATAACAATCACTGATTTGTGAATTTAGGATGAGAGAAATAAAAACACTAGAGAGTAATAAGTTTAATACAGATTTTTTGTATTAGGAACTTGAAAGAAATCATTTCAGTGAAGGAAAGATATGACTAAAAAGTCAAGAAAGGATATACAGGTTCTAAATTAATAGAGCAGTAGAAAAAAGACAAAACAAAGCTGACCTATTTATAAAAAGACTAGAAAAATAAAACAAAGTATATGAGTGGAAAATCTCAGGAAGATAGAAAAATTTTTTAAATAAATATTTACATTAAATGTAAATGGACTAACCCCCTGTTTAAATGACAGAGATTGTTAGATCAGATTTAAAAAGTTGTTATAAAATATTAACAAAATAAATCCTAAAATATAAGGACTCAGAAAGAATTACAGTGAAAAGTCTTTAAAAAATACACACACACACACACACTTACAGACACACACACACACACACACACGGCAAATATAAAAAATGAGAACTGGGTGTTGTATTGACTGACTGAAGCTCACCAATTGTGTTTTCTCTTCCTGAGGACAGGAGATACCTGTCTTTCCCAGTCTGTTTTAAAGTTACAGTAAGGTCAGGTGATGTCTGCACAAAAGGAATAGAGACCTCTTTTAAGCCTGGCCTTTGAAATCTTCTACAAGATTTTTGGCTTACTTTTAATCACTTTCTTTGTGTGTATGTGCATGTGTGTGTATATGCATGAGTGTGTGTATGAGACACTGCAAACAACAGTTCTGAGATGGCAGAGATAGAAAATGCAAGAACTTGAAGACTTGAGTCACTGTTTGTAAAAGAACTGCCCCAAAAGCCCATCTTCCCTCCTCAGACTTTTTTTTATGAATAAGAACTTTTTTATTTTTATTTTTAGTTGCTGATATTTTGGGAGGTATTTGGTATCACAGTGTAGATTAGTCTAGTCTTGCTAATACAGAAAGTAATATCTTGAAATTCCACAAATGTATTACTTTGGCTTAGCAGTTAAGAAGTAGAAGGGAATGCAAGTGATATCAGAGGCTGAAATGATGATTATTCTTATTTATACAGTGGAAAACATTTGGTATAAGTGTCACCTGTGGTAATTTGCTTGGTAATCACTTATAACTTTAACAGGGATATTTGTCAATAATAAAAACTATATGTACATGGGGGGAGGAACCAAAAAATCCCAGAATTTGTTTATGTTTTAAAAATGTGTATTTATTCTTACATGTTTAAACTTTTGTGACCATCAAAGTACTCTTAATTTGATTCAATACACCTATCAAGATGCTTTTTCCAAAACAATTTTTGAACTCATCAATTTTAGTGCTGTTTATGCCTTTATCATTTATTTGGTTTTTATTTCTTGTTTTGTGGTTTGTTTTTTTTTTTCACCTCTTTCACATCAGAAAAATGTTTCCCTTTGAGGACATTTTTCATCCCTGGAAAAAATCTCTAAAAAAATTCACTGAAGCCAAACACAGCCTCTTGCAACATTAGCTGGTACACTGATGCCAATAGGTTCCTAGAAGACTTATCTAGTAGAGAAAGCCTGTACTACAAAGGGCTCACCCAACAAAAAGATAAATCTGGTTTTTTGTGTGTGTCCCCCTTATATAATAATATTAAAAGAATCAGAGCATTGGTGTAAAACAAGAAAGAGATGAGATCATAGAAAGAACTGGACAATTTACAAGAAGAAATAAAAGAGCAGTGGAAGTCTAGAAATATGACTGTAGATCACAAACACTGACACATAGAATCATTTAAAAAAAGAAAGAAAAAAGAATATTGAGCATAAAAGCCCAACAATATTTCTCAGCTAAACGAAGTGACTTAAAGCAAAGATCATGTTAATGATACAGTTTCATAAATAATATTCTGGACATCTCCATATGGTTGTCATTAAGCCAAAGTCTAGAAAAGTAGAGACAGGAAAGCAAAGTAATAAAGCCAATTTGAGAACTTTGCCCTTCAAGAGAACTTCAGTTTATTGTGTTTATAGAACTGACTACAAGTAAATAGATAAGATTACATTAATAAATAGTTTACTAAATTTTGTAGGAATTGTATTACCAAAGAAACTATAGGATATTCCTAAAAGCTTTTGATTGTTTAAAAATAAAACAAAACAATAATCTTTGGCCTCCA